ACGGACTTAAAAAAATGCATTTAGTGTCAAATATAGTTGGGTGAAATTGGTGAAAACTCTTTTGATGTTGAGAGTCTAAAAGACGACTGGGGCTCCAGTGCATCATTACACAGTTTGTTGAACGTCATCAAAAAGAAACAAGTGCTTTTGTTTGTCCCATTTAAGAAACTTTCTAAAGCAGTGATTCCCAAAGTTTGGGTCTTAAAGCACCAAATGAAGGGTTACTAAAAAGACAAAACATTTAAATGATGGTCAGCTGCACATTTAGCCCCAGCAGTTACAATAAGATAACAACATGAGTCATAAATCAATAAAAATATTATATAACTGTAGATGAGACTCTTTGTTAAATTACTTTTTGATGATACTTTACAGCAATATTCAGGGTCACACATTTTTGTGGTTTTATTTGGTGGGTGAAAAGTTTAAAATGAATTTAAAGAATGAATCTAAACAGTAACTTCAGCACAACACACACAGAACGTCTAATACACGTGTAGACCAGTTTGAACTGTGCTATATAGTACAAACTAAATTCATAGTAATATCATTTAAGTTTAAAAACAATGTCTAAGTGATAAAAGTGGAATAAATATGAAAGATTAAAAAAACTCCTTTGTCATTTAGAAATGTATCATTTTAAAAACAGTTCATATTTGGTCAAGAAAATCTAGTTTAAGCATGCTGAAACAGGCAGTTGTCAATTTTACTATGTTCCTTGAAGGTCACATACAAGTTTGAGGAGTGATGCACATGTGTGCCATGTGACAGGTTCACAACCTACTCTTTGAGTTGTGCCAAGTGTCATTCTTGTTCAGTTTTGTTTTGTATTGGATTAAGCATTTTTATTTTGCCCAATCAGATGGGAGCGGGCGGGATTAATGGTACGCTGCATGAAATGTGTGTGTGAAGGGCAGACAAGGGCAGAGAGCACAGCGACGCAGACGCGGGTCAATAACAGAGTGAAGCTGTCCGTTACAACGTTTGATGCAGAGATGCCAACTGTAACGGACTTTAAGAAGCATATGAAAGGTTTGTATGTTTTACGCTGTTTCAGAATGATGCAGTGTGTAGATGAAAACCACGCTGAGTACAACTAGCATTTTAGCATGCTAGCATGATGTAGCAGCTAGCTAAATGATGTAACAGCTCAGTTTTTTGTATATTGAAATGTAAATGCTAACATTAGTGGCTGGTTAAGCTCTTAATGGAGGAATATATATATATGGACTGAGAGCTGTTAATGTGTACAGTGGACCCGGAGCTAATCTTTAGACCTGCTGGAGGAGTTAGTTCCCCATTTCAGCCATTTGGATTTCCATCTGTGAGGTTGCTGCCAGGAAGGATCTCTGTGTCCATGTGACATCACCTGCCTACTTACTTTACTCAGTGCCATATTAAAGGGAGCTCCACATCTACCTTTTCCTGATCCAATCTCAAACCTCGGAGGATTTGTGAGTATACAACTAAACCAACACACATGCTTTTTATTTCATTTGCTCAGTGAGCGAATGAGCCGTTTGTTTATAGTTCCCACGCGCCCAAGCGTCGATTCAGGCCTGCAACGGGTTATTTTGGGGTTGAGTTGCATGTTTGAAAAGCTTTACCTTCTTTTTTTTGTTATTTAAAAACATTGTTCTGTTTTATTTTATGTGTGAAGCAAATTCAATTCTTAGTGGGTTAAACAAAGTGTAAAGTCATAATTCCCTGCTAAGTGGAGGCAACGCCATTAAACGAAATATAAACAGGAAGTTGTGTCTCCTGTAAGCTGTTAGTACGGCTATCTTTACAATAACGTTCCCAAGGCCTCGACCAATGTGCTCCATTTCAATCTAACCTGTTGGGTAACCGTTTAGCTACGTGGTACGGGCGCTACACGTTATTCAGGTTGACTGAGAGGTGGGTTTGGTTTCTGAATGGACTTAAAGACAAAACAGAAAATCAACAAATGAATGGATGATTTTGAGCTTCGTGCATTCTGTCAGACCCGTGTCAGTGGCATGTTGTGAAAGCTACACTGTCTGCTCCCCGGGTGATTTGAGTACGCAGATTAAATTTGATCCATCAGTTTAGAGTTTGTAAATGACAGGTTGTCTTGCAATGAACAATAACTAAAAAACAGAATACTCCAAACATCTGAACTCGGTTCCTCCCATTTCCCTTCCAGAAGCTCTGGTGAAGGCGTCGGGTCGACACTTCCCTTCCTGTTTGTCAGACTGAACACCGCAGCGTCTTGTCACAGCCGTCATTGCACAGCGGCTTCGTGTCTCACTCATTTCACCAGACGGCAGGAGTTTGTCTCTGCAGCTGAGATGAATGCCTCGCACATTTCCTATCAGACGATTTCTATTCTTGACCTTCAAGGTCAGCGGAGCAGATAAACTATGAGCACTATCACACCGGCCAAGTCTGAAGTATACTCCAATCATTTAAGTTTCAACTTTTTAATTATTCCTGTTAGTAGTCAGGTATTTTGAACTGTATCTTTAGGCTGGAAAATGCCCAAAGAGAAGTTTGAGCTCAACATCTGTAAATGTAACTAAGGTTTCTTGGCTGTGGCGTCAAACAACAAAAACTAGTGCTCAAACTAAAAGAAAGCTGCAATCTTAAAGCTCTGGTGTTCCTGCCTACAGGAGTTACTTTACAAGTAATCTTTATCTGGTTAGAGATCATACAATTATTAGTTTTGAGATTGTAAATTATAGGAATAAACTAGCACATCAGTCTAACGCAGGCCTCTGATATCCATTGAAAAATCGGTTTCAGACTTAACATTGTGGAAATCTATTACTTCATGTTGGATGGGATGAGATGGGATGCCTGTAGCCTGAGGGCTGCTTGTTCAGAGCTTAAAGATGAGACTGACGCTGCCGCAAAGCTTTATATGAATTAAAGTGATGGCACAGAAAGACAGATGTGCTCCAGAATTGATCCTGTCATAAAGTGATTAAAATCAAAATATCACCATAGCTTTGACAAAGGAACAACATTTATGCAAGCAGATTATACGAAAAAAACAACAATGGAGAACAAATATGGATTTTGACAGTCACCAGTAAACAAATGATAAAAAAACAGCCTGAAGCAGAAGAGGCAGATTTGCCATGGAAACAGCCGTGTGTACCGAGTGCATGCAGCAGAATAACAGGCCCGTCATCCTGAACGTGGATTAAAACCAACCAACCGCGGAGCTGAATGACATTTGGTGCCACTTAATACAAAAAGGATGCTGGGAGAGCCAAGACACCAGTGGCACCTCCACCACAACTTCAGGAAACCAGTTAGAGATTTCAGTACACACAGAGGGAGACCAGAACACAGGAGTACAAAAATAATAACCTGACATATTCCTGCAGCCCTTTTACTCGAGCCACTGATCTGTTGGGTCCTTTATCTGAGAAATTATTTTTTTTTAATGGCTACTTTCTGTAATTGTTTAGCCTTTTACAAGATGGGTGCTCTGACCTTTGCTTTTTGTAACTTTTATACTTTTCACAATATTTATTTTCCCATAGAAAGACATGAGATCGCTTCAGCCCTTTAACTCCGTTCTCTTTAGAAATCTGCTTTAGCATGTTTGATTTGTTTTGGTTTTCCTTAGATACTTTTAGCTTTTAACCACCAAACTGCTACTTTTAGCTTTTTACTACCAAACTGCTACTTTTAGCTTTTAACCACCAAACTGCTACTTTTAGCTTTTAACTATCAAACTGATACTTTTAGCTTTTTACTACTGAACTGCTACTTTTAGCTTTTTACTA